TAAACAATACTACAATGGGTGAAAAATTACTACAATGTTTGTAAACAATACGACAATGTTTGTAAAATACTACAATGGGTGTAAATTACTACAATGTTTGTAAAATACTACAATGGGTGTAAAATTACTACAATGTTTGTAAACAATACTACAATGGGTGGGAAAATTACTACAATGTTTGTAAACAATACTACAATGGGTGTAAAATTACTACAATGTTTGTAAACAATACTTCAATGGGTGTAAAATTACTACAATGTTTGTAAAAATACTACAATGGGTGTAAAATTACTACAATGTTTGTAAACAATACTACAATGGGTGTAAAATTTCTACAATGTTTGTAAACAATACTATAATGGGTGTAAAATTACTACAATGTTTGTAAACAATACTACAATGGGTGTAAAATTACTACAATGTTTGTAAACAATACTACAATGGGTGTAAAATTACTACAATGTTTGTAAAAATACTACAACGGGTGTAAAATTACTACAATGTTTGTAAACAATAAGACAATGGGTGTAAAATTACTACAATGTTTGTAAACAATACTACAATGGGTGGAAAATTACTACAATGTTTGTAAACAATACTACAATGTTTGTAAAAATACTACAATGGGTGTAAAATTACTACAATGTTTGTAAAAATACTACAATGGGTGTAAAATTACTACAATGTTTGTAAACAATACTACAATGGGTGGAAAATTACTACAATGTTTGTAAACAATACGACAATGTTTGTAAAAATACTACAATGGGTGTAAAATTACTACAATGTTTGTAAAAATACTACAATGGGTGTAAAATTACTACAATGTTTGTAAACAATACTACAATGGGTGGAAAATTACTACAATGTTTGTAAACAATACGACAATGTTTGTAAAAATACTACAATGGGTGTAAAATTACTACAATGTTTGTAAAAATACTACAATGGGTGTAAAATTACTACAATGTTTGTAAACAATACTACAATGGGTGTAAAATTACTACAATGTTTGTAAACAATACTTCAATGGGTGTAAAATTACTAGAATGTTTGTAAAAATAAACAATACTACCAAGCCTGGCACGCGTGCCGTAGGTTGCCGATGCCTGGTCTAGATCATACTAAAATATTACCGCCCTACGACAACTCGTTTAGCTTTAAAAATTCGTCAAAATTTAAAAGCCATTCGATGTATCTCAATGAGCACTATTGTTTGTCACTTTTGTCCGACGATCGGCCGAGCCGTTTCCTTGAAATTTGCAAAAAAGTGTTAAACTTTTCGTCCACATTTAAGCTCATTCTACCGAATCGATTTTAAAAAATCAAAAACTGGTCGAAAGATATTAGTTGGGATTGATGCTGATTAGTTTTAGGTGAAAATCTACTGAGCCGTTTTCTTGTAATTAACTGTTGAAAAAAAAATTAAGCCGATTTTTATGAAACTTTTTTTGGCGATGTATACCATGGTCTTATAGAACTTACTGAAATATTACGGTCTTACGACAAGTAGTTTAATTTTAAAAATTCATCAAAGTTTGAGAAAATGAATAGTTTTTTTGACGTTTGTTAAAAATAAAATTAGATGATTTAGTTGGTATAACGATAGAGTACTTGGTCTTAATGAGCATACTAAACCATTAACGTCCTAGGAAAACTGGTTCAATTATGAAAATTATTGATTTATGAAAATTTGCTTTTAGAAAATAGTTAACGTGTTCGTTTGTTTTCAATTGTGTGAAATAAATCCATTCGGAATACTTCTAATCACTCATAAATTAATTTGTTTATTATTGGTTAAGTCGATTATTTACACATATCGGGAAGTTCATGTAACTTTCCTCAAGGCTAAAGACCAATACCAACTAGTTTTTATTTATTATTATGAGCATTTTTCTTTTTGATTTATATTTATTTATATTTATATACTTAACTATTTTATTGTTTTCATTTTATATATTATGTTTTACATTTTAGACTTTTATTTTCAAATTTTAATTTGTATTTTCAACAGTTTACATTTTATTATTATAGATATGTGTATTTATTTTTATGTTTTTTTTATATTTATATTTTTATTTTAATTTATATTTTTATTATTATTTTTATTATTTTTAGTATATGTATTGATTTTTTGTTGTTTTAGTATATAATTTTTAAAAGTTTTGTTTGTTTCTTTTTTATTCATATTTTTAAATTTCATGTTTATCATTTTAATTTTTATTTTTAGTGTTTTTAGAATTATGTATCACATTTATTTTTATTCAATTTCATTTTTAGTAACTGTCGATGTCATTTCGAATTGACCATGGTTAATGCTGTATTGGGGAATCCCTCCTTTTTCTTGCTGACCATCGACGAGAAAAATTCAAAGGAGAAAAGAAGCGGGTAAGGCTACATTAAATACTTGGATTTTAGTCTCTGCATAAAGCAAGTCTTTATTAGTAATAAATTGGTGAAGATTTTTTTTCTCGCGTTTGTTGTATGACAATTACATTACTTTTTCCATTTTTACTCTTTTCAATCCATAAATACGTTTCACTTGCAACCTGGTTATTATTGCATTGTGTAATAAATTGTTATCTAGTATTCTTGGCTTTTGGATGAAGATGTAATATCTGAAGATATCTGTAGATTTTTTTGGCTTGTTTGAATAGACTTTACTTTTTTAATAATATTGAATTGACTGTAAAAAATGTATATTTTTTGACATGTTTGAATAGAATTTCCTTTTTTTAATAATATTGAATTGACTATAAAATATAGATTTTTTTAACATGTTTGAATAGAATGAATAGTGTGGACTATTCTAGTACTACCGTATGAAAATCAAGGATTTAGGATTTATTTATTTGAACAATTCACCATATTTAATTTATTCTCCAGTAACTTTTCTCTTTTGTAATATAATTTTTTTTCAGCTATTGAAACCGTTACTCGATACCAGTTCAACTAATATTCATAGAAGCAAATTAATAATTTTCCAATCGACGATCAAAGCTATAAATGCACACTGAAGACGACGACTGTGATAAGTTTGATAAAAACTTCTCAAAAATATTAAATGTAAGAATTTTGTGGTCTTTGTTATTTTTGCAATTTTTATTATTACATTTTATTATTTTTGATATTGTTTTCTTATTAACTTTCCATAGAGTAAGGTTATTGTAATTGTCCAAAATTTTTTCATCTACGCTTTCGGGCGCATGGTTCAGCCGAATTGAATAGTTTAAAAAACATTTAATTTCTATTGATAGGAAGATGTGCTGATTAGTCTTTGGTAAAAACAGGTCCAGGCGTTTCGGGGATGCCGAGCTAAATGTGAAAAAAATAAGTCTTTGGAAGAACTATGCCGTACACCACTAGTTATTTTTAATATTATTCTCTTATTATATTTTTTATTGCCCTTTGTTGTTTTTATTGCACTTTTTTGTTCTTGTTCTTCTAATATTATTTCTATTATTCACAAATTTTATTTATTTTATTCATTATTTTATCATCATTTGTACTTTTGTATTATATTTTATTCCTAATTCTTATTGTTGCTAGATATTACTTAGCTGTTGTAACTGATATTGAAATAAAAAAAACACAAATTGCGGTGTTTTTGATTCATAACTAACATCTTTATTTTCAGATCCAGATGCGAATTTATCTATCTCTTTTGTACGTCTAGGGTATGTATTACAATGACGCAATTCTTTCTACTCTATATATTCACTCACTTCAAGTATGTCAAAAATATTAACATTTTTCACTCACGTAAATATTGAATTTAGTCTTCTGTCAATTCTGATATCAATACATATTTTATGTTCCTAGTTTTTTTTACATAGTGAACTATTGTACTTTTTAACAAGTTATTTGTTCTTTTTATTATTATTATTTTTTTTTTTTTTGAAACCTTCAGCATTATTTGTCAATGCTTCTAAATTTGATATTTTTCCTGAGGTCAATACGCTTTTCTCTCCTTAGTTTATAATTAACTTCCCGTAGGGCAAGTTATAGTAATCGCAAAAAAATCGAAAATGAAAATGTGTGTGTGTATGTGTGTGTATGTATGTACGTGTGTGTATGTATGTGCGGATACAAATTTTCGTCGACGATTTCGGGAACACGGATCAACCGATTTGAATAATTCAAAAAACATTCGATTCGTATTGATAAGGAGACGTGCTGATTAGTTTTTGGCGGAGGCAGGTCTAGCCGTTCCGAAGATACGGGGCAAAAAGTGCCGAAAACGGTAACTCAGTTTTTAAGAGAACGGAGCGTCCGATTTGAATAATTCAAAAAACATTTCACTTGTATTGACAAGATGAAGAATCGATAAAATTGTCATGAAGGTAGGTCTAGCGGTTTCGGAGATATGGAGGAAAAAGTAAAAAAATGAGCCATTCGGCGGTCAAAAATGATCATTAGACATATGCACATCAAATCATCAGATATTTTATAGAGATTTTAACAATAAGTATACATTTTGTTAACATTCTTATGGGTTCCGTACCAATGCTTATGCGTTGGACAGCGACGCGGCGCTTACGCGCTTTATATTTTGTTCCTATGCAGTTAAAGCAGTACGATAGCTTTGAAAAAAAGTTCAGATCTTCCACAATATGTCAAAATAAAGAAAATTTTTTTTTTCAAAAAAAAAAGAAATTAAAAAAATTTTTTTTTTTTTTAAAATTTTTTTTCAAAAAAAAGTAATTTTTTGTCCAATTTAGTTTCTCAAAAATCTTATTTTTTCAAAGTAATTTTTTTTTCAAGAATGTTAATCGTTTTTAAAAAAATAATAATTTTTGGTACGGGAAGTTCCAGCAATTTGCCTTGAGGCACGATGCCTTAATTGCCTTAAGACAGAATTCCACTTACAGCTAGTTATTATTATGTTATTATTAGTCATTGAGAAATTATTAGACAGTTTTTGTGAATCTTTATTGTAAATGCTTCTACACTATTTCTATGTAGTTGTTATTTATTTTAGTTCATTAAGTAATTAATATTGATCATTTATTGTAAATTTGTCATTCCATTGTAAATACTTTCTCTTAGTTACCTACAATTGTAAAATTATAATACTTTTTGTTAAGCAATAATTAGTAAAAATAATTTTTACATTTATAACATGTCACTATTAATTTTAATTTAATTGTTATGTAAAAATGTTTGAAATATTTGAAAATATATTTTGTTCATTCATTTTATGGCCTTTGCCATGGCAAAGGTGACCAAAGCAGGGGGCTGTCATATTTGTATGTGTTTGAGTACGTGTGAGTGAATGAGAAGCGTTCGCGTTCGTCGACTTTAGAATACCGTGTCCACGGTCGACTAGCGATCACAGCGTGAAATGGGCGATCGTGGCATATGCCGGACTTTGGAAAACAGGATTTCAAACTTCCCCTCGTGGCTGACACCTTATCGTGGTGAGGGGGTCCAGTTCAGCGATAACCGTCCAATTGCCAAGAGCAGCCGTCTACTTTAGCACGTTTGTATACTAGTTATACTTCAAGGAATAAAAATTATTTAGTTGAGTATATTTCAAAATGCAATCCACATTGTATGTGGGTGTCAATTTGAAATTCAAATTTCAAATCCAATTGAATTAATAAATATATTTACTTGTTCGAACTGCATCTTATTTTCGAAAGTTTACTAAATACGCGATAGATGTCGCATACCCTATTCGTATGCATTTTTCAATAGCACATTCTCTGAAATATAGAATGCATGTGCCTAAGCTAACCGTCCATCGCTGCTATCAGGTATTAGAGCTTCGGTCTTGCTTGATGAATATTCTACCGAAACTTTCTATTTATTTCATTTTGATAATCTATGCGCTTTAGAAGCGAATGAAAATTGTGGATGTTTTGACATATTTTGATTTGAGTGAAATTTTCTTTTTTCAAAACAATTTTTTTCTCAAAAAGTGGAAAATCTTGGACCAATTTTTCACGAAATTAAAAGTGAAAAAGATGCATGTGGGTGTTTCCAAAAAATTTTTTTTGACAAATCCAATTTTTTTCTCCCAATCTTTTTGACCAAAAATTTTTTTTCCCAAAATTTTTTTGAGAAAAAAATTTTTTGTCAAAAAAATTTTTCTCTCAATTTTTTTCACCAAAAATTTTTTTTCCAATATTTTTTGAGAAAATATTTTTTCTCCCAATTTTTTTGATTTTGATTAAAGAAACGTATTGGTAATTTTACTGTGAACACGGTGAACCTACCAGTTATTATAAAACATGGCACGAGATGGCGCCAAACATAAATGCATTCGGCATTTATGCATACAGCACACGCTTCGAAATACTGCAAGGTCGATTATGAAATAACGACCTAGCTGCTGTTTTATTGCACTTGGTACAATGTACTGAGTGTCAACTCAACTTTTGCCAGGAGCAAAATTTGATTGGGTCGACTCATCTGGACCTTTTTTCTTGGATCCGACTTTGGTCGACCGGGTCTCTAGTCGACTAGCGATCGCGACAGATTTCAAAGTTGTCGTCGATCTCCGAGTTAGATTCAGTTTTGGCATAAAATATTGAAGGATAAATGTTAATTTATTTGAAAAGTTTAAATACAAGCTTTTACTAAATTTTGTTATTTTTTTCCATTTCTAACTCTCGTTGTGCTGTACTGATGACAAGTTATATATTTTTTACAACTCATAACGCACGCTGTGCAGTACTGTCTGCACAGTTAATAATTAAATTCCTTTTATTGCTTCTCGCGTACGGTACACCCTTGTGGCGGTACCCGCATCGCCACCCCGCCTCATTCAGCGACATTTCTGTCGCCCTTTAGGGCTTGCGGTGGCTGAGGCATACATTTTTTTTGTTGAGGAACACGAATAACGATACATTTTCCCAACGAATGGCAGGGTTTGCAATGCTAAAGATTTTTTTTTTTTTTTTTTTTTTTTTTTTTTAATTTCAATAATTATCACAACTGCTAATTTATTAACATCAAGTAATATTGATAAATAATAATATAAATTTAAATAAATAAAAGAGCAAAGGATAAAATTTACATGAAAATAATATCCGTAATATGATTTAATGTAAAATATAAGCAAATAATAATAAAAATAAGATTAATAAATAATATAAATAAAATTTCCGAATAATAAAATAATACTAGAAAAATAATAAAATATAACAAAATAACAATAATAGAAATAGTAAGATAATAATAATAATAATAATAATAATAATAATAAAAATAATAATAGTAATAATAACAATAATAATAATAATAATAATAATTTACAAATTTATAAGATCATTTGAAATTTTTCGTTTTAGTCTTGTAGGGCGCGCTTCTGAGTATACTTTGTTGGCCAAGTAATTTGGGTGCTCGTCTATTCTTTTTTTGTAAAATTTTGCTAAAGATGATGCCAAGGAAGTGTGTCTTAAGCCACAAGATACTTGTTTGAGTATTTTGAATGCACAAGGTAAGGCAAAATAATTTTTGGTCCTACAAACTTAAACTTCTCATCCTCTATATAACTATATAACTTAATTTTTCAATAAATGTTCAAAATTGTGAATCGATATAATTATTATATCGATATATATATAATCGATTAATTATTATTATATTATATATTTCAAGTAGTATTTAAATTATATCGAAATTGCGCATAAAATAAATGGCACAACATTAAAAGTAGAATCATTCCAACAATCGATGTATAAATTTATATATCATAAAAAAATGAAATATAAAAACTGACCCCGCTCGCGGATTCGAACTCGAAACCCAACGCAATAACTACCGCCTACGCAATCTAACGATTTAACGATCTCGACCACTAGCGTCTCTTGTAATTATCAATTATATAACGTCAAATTGTATAACTTGCAGTTTTAGACATGTCGAGATGGCGCCAAATGGCATATGGCGCACGCTTCGAAATACTGCGAGTTCGACTATGAAACATCGACCCAACAGACGTTTCGTCGCACAGCGGTCTGTCTGTCCGTTTCGTCGCACTCGAGTTGCAAAACTCGGGTGTCTAAGAGTCCCAGTGACCAGCTTTAATGTCAAGTGAGAATCAATCACTTCTGCCAGGCCTCACTTTAGCATCATGCCTCGAGGTCCTCTGGAGCAGAACCTGATTCGGTCGTCTCATCTTGATTGTTGTGATCGCGGGCTCGGGAGATAACGGTATGGTGCCTCTATCTTCTCCCGTTGTCTGCGGCTATTGGGGGGCACTGACAGCAGGGGGCTGTCAGTTTTGTGTGTTGTGTGTTGCATGTTGCATGGTGTGCTAGAGTACGTATGAGCGAGTGAGAAGCGTTCGCGTTCGTCGACTTTGGAAGACCGGGTCCAGAGTCGACTGGCGATCGCAGCGTGAAATGGGGGGA